AAWTTTTWKAGMKYWTAGCAGGGTTTGCATAGAGGATTAWACTSAAACTTCACGTTCTTACACTTTGAYTTCTTTCACAGGAACAATTTATCGAGAAATGATAAGCAACCTGTTAACGCCGCTGAAAAACAAGAAAAACACAAATTTTATCCGTTACAGCTGCTACCACGCCCTGTCAAGTTCAGCCAACTCGTTCATCGGTCGGGCGGCTCATATAGCCATGCTTGACTCGGAACTTTTTATCGAGAAACTTTTACTAGTATCAGCTCAAGATTATTTTAAATAATAACTAGCTTTGAATAATCAATTGAATCTGTAAAAAAATGTTTCTAGAAAAATCCTCAGTTGAGGCTGGCGCGGATGGCCTGGTTTTGATTTAAGAACAATTGCGTTGTGACGTAGTTTCGATTCACCAGATTTGCTCCAAATAACTGCACCATGTGTAAAGAAGTTTAAAATCTTCCGGTAGCACCTTCTTCCATATTATCTCCTAAAAACAAATTGAAGGGAAATTTTATGAGGTAAAAATATAAGAAATACTTTAAAAAACTGACGTCACACATTGAGATTAAATTCAGATTCAGGCCCTTCTCGGAAACCTCATTTTGAAGTAAAATGTTCTACTTTACCGATCGATATAGCTTAGGAAACCGGTATTCTACTCCACGAAGGAATATAAGCCTAGACGTACAATTAGGGCTGATTTTCATAGGTTAAGGTTTGTAAATTTTCAAAATTTAATATTTCATAAAAATTGCTGAATTTCAAAGGCAATGGCTTTGATAAAGGGTTAGAGCACATGCAGAAGTCAGGTACTTCATATATTCCAAAGAATAGTTGTTCTAGTGTAAATATAAAGAAGAACACAATGAAGTACCTTACAAGAAGTACGTACATGCGTAGACTCTTCCACAGTCTCTCGCTCGGCCGTTCCGTCTCCACGCTTAGAGAAGTGCTTAGAGTCTCTGAGCATGGAGACGGAACGGCCGAGCGAGAGACTGTGGAAGAGTCTAGTCCATGCGCARACAATGGTCACTGGACCTTTAATTTCTCAAAATTATTTTGATTGTGAGGTTAACATGGAAGTACCAAAAGAAATGCCACAAATTCCATCGAGAAAAGTGTGATTTCTTTTGYATTTTCATGTTAGCCTCGCATGCAAAGTAATTTTGAGAAGGGTCCATACAGGCATTTGATTGGATAGCAAACGCGGTGCATTCTAGTATAGCTGTTATACTGATAGCTTGGCTCCTCTTTTCTCTCGTTCCAAAATTCAACAATAATCGTACGCCCGCAATTCATTAATCCAGTGGCAGAACTGGCAAACGTGGTCTTTTCTATCTGATTTTTGTTGGGTTTTTTTTCAGCTTTCCTTCTAACTTAAATTTTAAATTTTAAGATAAACCGAGATTTTATAAACAAGTAACTTATGTCAAACCTAATTGTTTACAATTTTTAATGGCAATGATATTGATGGTTTTCAACCATTCCCAAGAGRATTAAATAACAAAAGACACGGCGGCCATGCTGGAGGATATAACAAAAGAATTCATTGACAATTCTTTTGTTAAGTTCCTCCAACATGGCCGCCATGAAAACCAATCTAGCGATGGCTTCTTCTATGGACTAGATACAGTAAAATAATGTTAGCGGAAACCTTAGAGCAACTGGGAAGCAAACTAGGGATATTGGCTAAGTTTTATCCTTAGTTTTACCTTCCCTTCTGATTTAATTTGAAAACTTTAGCTCGGGAACTTAGAACATACGTTTTTATAAAATCTTAATAAACTCGTACGCAAAGAAGGTATGGGTTGTCGTTTGTAAAARCTACTTAAATTTATTCCAATCGAGTCTGATGTACGTGTCGAGAGGCTTCAAATGTAGTAGAATGCTTCCGATTAGCATTTAAGAAATAAAACACAACATTAAATTAAAGACCTCGCAGTAAATTTCCTTTCACATACGGCCAGTCGCGTAGCGTARCGAGCTAGAGTCCAGGAATTTGTGGCGCGGGCCTGTGGCTTCTGCCAAAACGACAGGAGCTCCCCTGCAGTGACGAAGTACAAGTCGTGGTCCTCCCCTCCCCTCGCCTACACTACACTACACTACTACTCCCCACCAACTTACTCATACGTGCCTGCAATTACCTTCCGCAACGGCCAGCTGTCGTAAAACGTATGCATATTTTAAGTATCGAGTTCCAAGAAAACAAAGGCCGGACGTCTTGATCCATTATCGTGCATTCTTTGCAGGTCATTTAGCCCCCTAGCGTTTCAAAGTACTTTACTTACACTACTCGCCTCAGCCTACCCCAAAACYAATTACCACAGGAACCCCAATGTGCATTATCAGTTAGGATTTAATCAGATCACGTTGCATAAATAGTAAAACTAAGAATGTGACTGCTATTATTGTTGGAAATGGCTCGTGAACTAAAGAAGTATAGGAAATGTATGAATATTAAATTCAGTATAGCCCGATATTCGTAAAAATGTTCTCTTGCGTGGCGCCATTTGCCTGTGATTTTGCCCCCAGGGAGTGGGGGACAGTTAGCAGAACTCAAATAACCACATGATTGGGTTTAGCCAATGGTGAGAGGCGAAAAGAGCGGTCGAACTGAGTCGTGTGTCGCATGTGCTGCCAAATAGGAAAGAAATTCATGGAATTGATGCTGAATTTTACTCTTTATATTGATTAGAATCGTCCAAGTTTTATCACTGGGGGGAAGAATTCATAATGGGGGACCAGCCTGGAGCTGGAGGATCACATTCGTATAAGATTCGTGGTCATTCACGTCAAMGAAGATCAACGAAACCATATTCACGACCGTCTGATGGCAAGAAGGTTAGCTGGAGAAAAACTCGTGCATCTCGTTTTTGTGCCTGGAATATTTTCAAATAACAGTCAGATCCTTACATTAATGATCTTATCATTACTGATTTATCATTAGTGTAGAAGTTAAATGGGGTTYGTTAGAGCAAAGGTAGAGTAATCTCGGGTTTTTCGCTTGTTCTTGTAGGGTGTTCTAGAAACGGTTAAAGATTTTTTCTCTCCTTCGTGGCTCGTGGATTTTTGGAAAGGGAAAATCGCTCCTGAAGAAGAAGAAGTTGAACAARACGAAGATGTAGACGAACCTGAGTATCCTACAAATACTATAGAGACAGAACAAGGTCCATCTAGAGGATCTTCGGAGGCAATGAATGTGAATACTAGAATAGCCGGTCAAACTTCATCAGATACTCGAGATAGAATTGACAAAGTCTATGGAAATGGTGGCTTAGGATCTGTGGCTTCTGCACAAATAACCAGTCAAACGTCGCGTAAAAGTGGACTCACGGCTTTCCTGGCCTTAACCTCGAGACAAAAATCAAATAAAGAGTCTGTGGTTACTAGAACAACGGGGAGTTCTTCGAAGAATACTGAATCATCGAGACCAGTAGATCAAGAACGATTCAAAGCTCCAAGGTCTACYAGTGATCACATCGACCCTACAGAGGTGACTATTAAACTCATTCATTCACTGTCTTACTAATTTGTTTAACAAGTTTTAAAGTAATCTTAATGCTTAAGTTTAGTTGCTAATAGTCGAGGTGTCAATAATGTTAAGTACAAAATTTTGTAGGCCAAGATCTTGTTCGTCTTTTAACATTAAAAAAGTCATAGATTGTATTTGGAAAATGTATTTATATCAYATTTTCTATTTCGAAAAATTCATTTAGTGGTTCTTTTCATTAGTTTAGGTTATATGTCTAACGTGAGGACTTACAAACACTATACTTGAGAGTTATGGACTTATGTGAAAGTCAGTTAATATGATTACTGAAATCACAAGTCACGTMAAAATGACACATTTTGACTGACATCCCTTTGTCTGGATACAGGACTTATTAGATCATGAACTATAATGTTTTATTTACCATGTGTATGATACACTTGTATCATAAATGCACTCTGCCGATTACCTGGCTGTATGTCTTGGAAAGTGATCATTGAGGGGGTAGTGAGTAGGGAGCAGTTGTTTCCCTTTGCCAAAGTATTTTTGGAGCTGCAACAACATGACTTCTCATTGCTGCAGTTAAGCCTACCTGCCTCAACTTCCCCACAAGTCAAAGCTTTTTCTGAGGTTCCCTTAGAGTGTCCCCATTGAGAAAGACAATGAAAAATTCACAATACTTTGGCTATTCTGAATAAAGCGTCAGCAAATGGAACCTTCGAAATGCACACTTTTCATTTACATTCAAAACCTGGATATTTTCCTCTTCATAAAAAGTTGGTCATATGGATACAAGTATTAATTCAATGCTCCATTTTACAGTTCCATTCAGTGATCACGAATAATAGTTCCTAGCGGGGGCTGGAGTTACCGTGCATGATAAACTGTAGTTTTCCTATGCGCAGAAACTCCAGCCTCGGCTAGGAACTATTATTCGTGGTCACTGAATGGAACTGTAAAATGGAGTATTATCACTTCTGCATATCATAGAATATCCTGCAATTTTTTTTTTCAATTTTCAAAACTCTTTAAGAATACGACAATGGAACTCATTCTAATTGATTAGCATTAATGCTAAGTAACAAGTTTTCCTGACTTGTGAAGTTTTAAGAAAGCAAGGATACACTTTATTTAGATCCTATGCCATGTGAAACACTATCAAATTTAGGTGTTTTTACTTCTTTGTTTGAAAAAATTTCAGATTTACAATGCCATTACTGTATCTTAAGTTCTTTATTACAACTCTAGCTGTTTTTGAATTTATTTTTGTTAAAGGATATTGGCCTAGATAAGTATTCAAAGTACAAAAACTTTCATTTTAGTCATCTTGATGTAGTAATTAGCCGGGTCTCAYAACGTTCTTACAATAACAGCCTATTAAATATATTGCTTTAGAAAATCGGTATGGTTTTCAAAAAAATGTAACTTGATACTTGTAGTCAGGGAACATTTTACTTTCACCAAGATTCCATTGAAGTATTGCCAAATAGTTATATAGAGTATTAGGAAAACAAAATGACAGATATTATTATGTCTGCTTAAATGTTTACAACTCAGACGTTACTCAATATATTTTTATATCAAAGGCAATTTTCTTGGTTTTAAGCTTCATTACCTCATTATACTTTKATTAATTATTCAATGTCTTGTACATCTAAAAGCCTTGAATTAAATTTAATATTTTGATGGGGAAAAATCATATGATAGTTCGTTATAGGATCTGATATTTTTAGGTGTTGGAATTTAAAATAAACCTGGTTGAACACAGGTCCTTGATACAGTTGATAAAGTTAGATAAACCATGGATTATAACACTGGTTCATGACTCTTGTTAAATTGTCCTCTATATTTTTGAATATTTATATGTAACATTAGTGTAATTATGCAGGTGAAGACAGTTTGGTGTCAGTTCTACAGTAATTTAAATATGATTACAACTATAAGTATATACAGTGTTCCTATTTTAAAGGAGTTCTATAAATATAATTTCTTTAATGGTTGTTACCATGCTGTTACTTTTGATACCTTCAGTGTATCTTCTAACATTTACCACAATTCAGTGATTTTGACATATTTTGTATTAATTCCAGGGAGAATCACCATCCTCATCACAGGTATTACCTACTAGAGCAGTATCAACCCCAAAAGATTCCGAATCGCCTTCCACCTCATTTCTAAATCCTGGTCCATCTCGTAAAGCCCTKCCTTCGTTAATCAGTACCAGTACACCTATGCCTGATACATCTACTGCCACTCCTATGGATCAGTCGTCCACTTCATCAGAGAGAATACCACTCTCTATTGGATCTAGACCACAGCCTACGTCAGTCTTTAGAAACAGACCAGAGTTTTCTGTAGCAGCTTTTGGGTCTCCTCTACCAGTAAGTATTGGTAGCGTTCATTTCTTTCAATGAGAACGAAAGAATRAACATAAGGGTCAGGGCCCGGTTGTACGAAGCCTGGATAGCACTATCCAACGGATAAATCTTATCCAGTDGATAAATTTATTGGATAACAGCATCGACTTATCCACTGGATAAGGACTTATCCACCAGATAGCGCTATTCACCCTTCATACAACTGTGCCCAGGGCTTTAAATAACTATTGGTCAGTCACCAGTCATGACACTGGGCAAATTACTTTTAGCCTAGTCATACTTCATGTCTCTCAACATTACTAGTCAAATGGCTAGCAAKGCAAAGATTTGAACATGCATATTCCAATTCTGACCTCACATTGTCTGATAGCCGGCCATTATTTTAAGCCCTGTAGAGTTGCTATATTGGTTGAAATACACCTGTAACAAAAGAAACTAAGGCCAAATCTATCTCGATTTCCTTCGTCCCCCCCCCCTCCCCCCCAAAAAAAAATTCGATAAAAAAATTTTTCCTATTCGATATATTTTAAGAGAGCATAGCATTTTTTCTTATTGGTAGTAAATAAGAAAACTAAACTAAAACATGGTTTTAATGTTTCAGCCACGGCAAAGCACCCAAACCAAGCAATTCTCATCACCTTTCTATTCTGGTAAGACTGCATTTGGTGGTGCATCATCGCAATTTACAAGTTCTTCAAAACGAATGAGGGTCAGCTCTCCTGGGAGTCTAGAGGTAAGGGAAAAGATYTTGAGTTATATTTTTGTAAACATTMATACATTCCAAACATTCAAAACCATCACACGCCAGCACCCATAATACAGCTCAAGCTTTCTGTGGTTAGATGTCAAAACAATAAAATCCCTTTGCTCGTGGAAATTGAATTCTTTCTCATGAAAAGCGATTAATTTTCCTGCCATCTAACATGGGTGCCATCACATGATGGTGCAAAGACTCTATAAATGGTTTTCCCTTTAATAGTGAAATAGCCAGCCATGAGAGGTAAGTACCCAGTGATCAACTGCCTGTAGCCTCTTTCTAATAATAATAATATTAATAATGGGAGGTTCTTACGTAGCTAATTTATACAGCRTCTCAATGCACTATACATTTATGACCAGTAGARGACTTTGTGGGCTGCATATTAAGGGGCTATTAGCAGCCATGCAGCTTACAATCATGAGTGATTTTTTTCTATTGAAACCTCGGGGTTAGAAGTCTAAGTCTGGATAAGTTCCTTCTGATTGTTATAATGGAATTCTAACCAATATTTGCTAATTGTTTTAGGTATCTAGACCTGTCAAGAAACAAATGAAACCAAYACCTATTGCAGGTATATATTATGTACACTATTATTGTCTTACAAAATAATAGAGTACAAACATTATGGAGTCATAAAAAATAATTTCTGCCTTATCTTATTTTTGGTTCCCAATGTGGGTAGACAATCAAAAGCCAAATTTCACAGGAATTGGTTAAATAGTAGCTGAGATATGGCAGTTTGAAAATGAAATTTTCCTTAATGAATCACTGTATTTTTGGATCAGTTCATAATGTTAGGAACCAAGCAAGGTTATGTAAAATTATACATTCAAATAGCAATATTTCAGCTGCAATGTAACCACTTCCTGGTATGTAATTTGGTATGTAAACGTCTTTCTTGATTGTCTTCTTGATTGGAAATCAAAAATCRTTTAAACAAAAATATATTTCTTTGCATGATGTCACACTTTAGTACTTTATACATGAGAGTTTCTGACTGACTGGATGATTGATTGATGGATTGATTGATTAATGGATTAATTGATTGATGGATTGATTGATGGATCGATTGATTGATTGATATCACAGGGCCAGGAGTGGGAGGAGTAGCGAGCCAAACAGCAAAAAGAATACTGGAGACTCTAGAAAAGATGTCTTCCCCACTTGTCGTAAGTTTACATTATTTAAAGGCTAATGTACATTTTTTATTCAATGGTAATTCAATGGCAGGTAAAAAAAAATTGTTTTCTACTCTCCTAGGACGCTAAGAAAATTCCACCTTCTCCTCCATTTTCTGCTTCTTCATCACCACTTTCTTTTTCGGTGAGTCAAAATATAAACTAGTTCATTCATTAATTGCTTGGTGATTATTGTTATTCATTATCATCTAGAAAAGTATCACATGTTGCATACAGGTAAAAAGGATTGGTTAAATCATTTGTGAATATGTGTTTCTCTCAATTTCTACACCTTACAGCAAAGTATGAGAAGAAAACATCCATACCAACCAAACMGAACTGTTGGATCTCCCAGGAAACTACAGGTATGACATAAACCAGGGTTTGTGCTACTCCTTAAATTCCTCAAAAAGTCCTTGAGTTTAATTCACTTTTTCAAGGGCACTTGAAAAGCTCTTGAATTTTACATTTTAGCAAAACTCCTTGAATTTTTGCTTTAATCATTACTTGCATGGTTCTGAAATAGATCTAGTCAGAAAGATCGGGAAAACCTTGGCATAGATAGCTGAACATACTCCTTGATAATTCATTTTGGGTCCTTGTATACTCCTTGAATAGTCCTTGAATTTTAAGTTGTTACCTCAGCACGAACCCTGATAAACAGTCATAATGAGAAAGTGTTTTTAACAGCTTTATTGATCATTGGTTTGCACTCAGCTGCCATGCTGAATGAATTAATCAAAAGATTTGTCATTAGTCTCCTTTATTATATCATCCAACATGGCTGCCATGTCTTTTGTTATTTCATTCTCTTGGGAATGATTGAAAACCTGCAAATTGGTTTATATTATCAATGACATACTATACGTATACAAAAACAGTACATAAATACAGTACACAAATACTTATAGGACACAATAGGGTTGAGTGTTAATTGCTATAAGCTGATAGAGACAAAAGTCAAGAGTCAATAATTGTTTTCAATCATTCCCAAGACATGTAGCAATGAAGACAGTGAGCAGTAATGACCTACTTTGATGATACGGCTGCCATCTTGGATCACAAGGCATTATGGGGCATCCAGGGGGCAAATAAAGCTTTGTTAAAGTAATGACGTCGATTGATATTAATGGCTCACCACAAAGAGAATACAAAAAAATGAATTAAGATGGCACATCAATCACCTTTACCCATTAAAGAAACTAAAATAAAATTTTGAAAAAATTTCTTTTCTGTAATCTTTATTTTGCCCCCTGGAGATGGTGACTATATCATCAAAGTAGACCATTTCATTACCAGAATTATTTCCTATTATTAGAATTTAATAATGAGAGATTCAATTTTGTTGTCATTTAGGCTCAATTTGGTGCTCCTCCAGTTCAGTCACTGTCTGTACCACAAAGAGCATCRATATCTAGAATTCATCAAAAACCTCCATCTACCAGAACAGCAACCATCACATCACAAGCTCAAGAACCAACATCTTTTGGGTAAGTGGATGATTAAAAGCATATAAATCTGGGAAATCAAGGGTGGTGTAACAAGTAGTTCTTGCCTATTACCTCTAAGGTCTTGGTTTGATTCCTGGACTCTGAATTCCAATAAAAAATAACCAATTATCCCCATTATAGTGTAAAAGAAGATATATATGAGGTTAGCCCTATCAAGAATATTTCCTAAGGTCAAATTGGAATTTAGAAGTTGATGTTTATGAAGGGAGGGAAACTGGAGAACCCAGAGAAAAACCAACAACTCTACTCATATATGACACCCAGCCTGGCAGGACTTAAATCCAGGTTCACATTGGTGAGAGGCAATGCATTAGCAGTGCACGCCACCTGTGCTACCCACTGCAATAGAGTTTAATGGGTCTCTCTCTTGAGTTGAGATTATTAATTTGTTCTTCCTCTTGTAAACCACCCCTCATGACTATAAGCCACCTATGAGTAAACACATACCAAGGCCACTATAATGTATTATCTATATCTATAATAAATTATAATCATTTTTAATATTGTGTTACAGACATCTTTCAAGCAGAGAAACATCGAAGGTATACTCCTACTACTATAATATATATAGTTATACTGTTTAGAAAAAGGTTGAGCTTTTTTTTGGTTTGCTTCTCACTGCTGTGTCATAGCTTTAATTCCTGTCTTTATTGACATAGCTATAAGTGAATTGATTTTTTTGGTGTGTGTATTAAAATTCTCTCTTGCTCACGTACCAAAAAGAATGGGGGGAAATGTAAATGTGGGTGCAAGTTCTGTTTTTCCCCTGCCATACCCTTATATTATTGTCTCTATTATTTGTTTTTATTTTTTATTAATTTCTTTTTCCTTTCGATGCTGTATTTTTGCTGCAAATTAATTAAATTAGATATTACTGTAGTTCTACTCTAATCATGAATGCTCAAGTTTATTTTATTTATTTCGTATTTGTGTTAATACACTTTTATTTTTTCTTGCTCGTTCATCATTTCATCTCCTTAAATAGCTTTTATAGACTTTCAATACATGTAACACGAATTCTTTTTTTTTTTTGTGATTTGTAATCAGTTTGGTCGACAAACTCAAGTGTTCACGGTTAGAGTAGAATGACAGTTACTAATAATGTGAGTTTAGTATGACGATAATTTGTTGTTTTTTTCTAGCCTACTCCAACGTTCACTCCTACTCCATTACCYGTATCCTTATCACCCAAGGAGTCCTTTAAAGGTGGTGGAAAGATGAGGACAGCTAAAACTAGTAATACTCATTATAAATCCCAGACTATCACAGAAGACCAAGAAGAGGTAATGACATGYAACTGGTCTATTGAAAAATAAATGTACAGTACTTGTGAGGGCAGAACAGGAGGTGGATTGGGTTTTGAGTTGAAAAATRATAAAAATAAATGATAAGATAAAACTTTGCCATGCCAAAAAGATTTGCTATTTGATGCCTTTCTAGGTAAGAGGCACCTCCTTGAAATCATTCTGGATTTCTGGCAGTCTTGTTATCATCAATAAGACTAGTCTGACTAGAAGATCTTTACTTGAGAAAAGAAAAAATCTTTGATTGTCAGAAAAAGGTCTTGAATTTGGAAATATTTCAGCCTTCATCAGTCAAATATTAGAAAGCAAATCAGAAAAAAAGAAGAGTTTTAGATTTTGAACTTTCTGCCTGCTAACTGCAGTMTTCATYAAAGAAATGACAAACTTCTGTGTGATCTGTCTCATGGTACTATTATCTTGTATATTGAATCATTATTTTKTTATTTTTTTATAGGTAGTAAATCCCTTACCAGAGATTGTATCTGCTGTTCCACTAAACATCCCWTCTAGTACAACATTACCAACATTTTCATTCTCACCATCTTCAACTTCTAATAAAATGTCAACAAGCACTTCATCAACTAGCAAAATGGGCTTTGTAAGTAAATATTGCCAAATWATGAAAAATTGATAAGGGAAAGCAAAAGAAACAAGTCACCAAGGAGAAGTCTATAAATCAAATATAGAATCATCCTTWTTTGGATTCAACTTTAATGTGGAATTTCTCAGCCAAACTTACTACTGTTACAAACTTTTCAGTAGAACATAAAATTGTACACCTAATGATAGATACAGTGTATTTGATAAGCAATGTCTGGTTGCTATGGGCTTTATAACGGCTCACCCAGGTTAATGCCAATACAGATTGGCTACTCGTATTKTATAAATTACATTTAACCCAGATAATAACCCTAGGAACAGGGAAAAGATTACAGTTGAATTTGGTTAAATTTACTTTTTGTATTAAAAAAAAAACACACTAATTTGAAAAATATTGGGGAGGGGGGGATTAAAAAATGTTTAAGAAAAATAGTTTCAAATTGTTCCAAAGAAAAAAATATTTGGCTATGTCAGTGTAAGGAAATATAGATTTAAGGGATTTTTCACACTAATTTTAGCCTAACATTTTGAAATGGAATCTTTATTACACAGTCATTTGCCCCTCCAAAATCCAAGGAATCTGATATAACTACAAACAACTTCAAGTTCTCAATACCAGAGCCAAAGGCTTCATCTACTATAGCATCAACATCAAATCAAACTCCTGAGAAAAAGGTAAACAAAAAACTACAATGACGCTAGAATGGTCACTGCAATACTATGAATATTGCTACATACAATATAGAGCTTTTTTAGAGTTTTTGTATTAGTTGGAAACCTATTTTACTGTCTTATTTAATGTACACAGTTACATTGAAATGGTTTCCTATAGACCCTTTGCAGCACTTTGGAATGTATCTCAACCGGGGAGACAAAACAATAGGTTCCAATTCTCAGGAGATTGGAATTCTTTTGTTTTGTCCCCCAGATTGAGCTGCTTTGACGTCGCATGCAAGGGGTCTGTTGTCTTCCAGTAACTCCTCCAATCACAGCACTCAGCTATGTACGTCGTAACTAAACCTACAGATTTACTGTATGATCATCAATCACTTATTGTTGATTGTCCGCAACTCACTTTACACTCGTACATATTATCATAATCTTTCTGGGAGCAAAAGGGATGTCTCTCTTGCACCCTACTCTTATCTATTTTGCTCTAAACAAGTGTTGTATTTTAAACACTYATTTAATTGATAATGCAAGCTGTTTTTCATTTCCCATCTTATGACATAGTCCTATAATATTGTAGTCATGCATCTGATAAATGTTGTTTCATTTCAGTCAKCATATTCATTTAGTCGACCAGCCCCTGTAAGCAAAAGGTAAGATCTATTTTGTTACATAATGAATGGACTAACAATCAATCAGTCAAGGTTTTTTTACTGATTTCTAAGATAGGATTAACTCATTTGAGCACCAACCTGTTTTGTGATAAGTTGTTGGCTCAAGACTCAGCCAGACCAACATGCATGGTATTAGAAATAACTGYGAAGTTCCTGTCTTTGTAATAATATCTGCAAATGATAGGATCTTCATATGGTTTATTAAAGAAGATTATTCCAATCCTTTTGACTAACAGTTGTGTACCCCAGGGCCACTTTTCAACCTCATAGCAACTAAAACSATCAAGTTGCAAAAGTAACAATAGATTAAACAATTTTGGACTTTTTTTCCATCTTAAGAGCAATGATGGAATAAAAACAAAGTAACTTGCATTTTGACTTTGTTATTATATCATTTTCTTGTAGTGACTCCAGCACGATGAGTGACAATGGAAAAAACAATACTACAAAATCCTCATTGGATAAATACAAGCCTGCCGAAGGCTCATGGGAATGTACAACATGTATGATCAACAACAAAGCTACAGCAACATYGTGTATTGCATGCTCTTCATCAAAGCCTGACAAAACAGTAGTACTACCAAGCAATGACTTGTTTAAGAAGTTTGCCCCACCTAGTGGATCTTGGACCTGTGAGACATGCATGATACCAAATAAGTCAACTGATGATAAGTGTGTTGCATGTCAAACACCGAAGCCATCTTCATCAAAGTCTGCATCACAATCAGATGATTTAAGGAAAAARTTTGCTCCTGCWGAARATTCCTGGGAKTGTAGTTCATGTATGTTAAACAATAAGGGTAGTGACAGTAAATGTTTAGCATGTGAGACACCAAAACCATCTTCATCAAAGTCTGCAGCTACTMCTGSAGTTTTACAATCAGATGATTTAAGAAAAAARTTTGCTCCYGCAGAMGATTCCTGGGAKTGTAGTTYRTGTATGTTAAACAATAAGGGTAGTGACAGTAAATGCATAGCATGCCAAACWCCAAAACCTTCCTYGKCACAGAARTCAAGCWTACCAACCACATCTACTTCAGATGATTTGATGAAGAAATTTSCACCTGYAAACAATTCTTGGGAGTGYAGTACATGTATGATAAACAACAAAAGCAGTGACAACAAGTGTGTTGCATGCGAAACGCCAAAACCAGGAGTAGAGTCTAGTTCATCATCTTCATCATCTAAGTTAACCTTTGGCACAGAAACTTCGTTTGCAAGTAAATTTGCTCCTGCATCTGGATCYTGGACATGTGATACTTGTATGATAGTAAATAAATCAGACGCTCTTAAATGTTTAGCATGCGAAACCCCAAAACCTGGTTCTTCGTCAACAGGAACCTTTAGTTTAGCTTCAGAAAATAATGCTGTTACTAAAACCTCATTTACTTTTGGAGGGGCCAGTACAGGGCCCAGCACAAAAACTAATTTTCAGTTTGGGGCAACGTCTTCTGAATCAGATTCTTCTAGTCCTTCAGTTCCTTTTAAATTTGGCACCAATGTAGTGACCACAACAACTCAACCATTTACCTTTGGTGGGCCTTCAAAGAAATCTGAGTCAAGTAACATYAGCTCTTTTGTTTTTGGTAAAAGTGTAGCAAGTACTGATACAAATGCRTCAGATTCAAMTGTACCTAGTTTTACATTGGGTGCTGGTACAGCCAGTACTACTGCAAGCAAACCAAACATTCAGTTTGGTGTCACAGCTGATTCTAASCCTTCGGACTCACCCCAGAAAGCACCACCTGCCATAGAATCMGGATTGAATGACACATCTGGGGACAGCCAGCAAAAAATACAGTTTGGCGGTCTAGTAAAGGCAGATGACAAGAAAGCATTGCCATTCATCTTCGGAGGAAGTACACCTGCAATACAGTTTGGAAGTGGTTCAATAGTACAGGAGAGTGCTCCTAAAGCTAGCAAAACACCAACTAAAAGTAAGCTATTACTTGTTATACTGCAGAAGGCGTTAGTAATTTTAGTAACACAGATATATTGGACATGTAGCCAGTCGATGTGACTGGTCAAGAGGAACAGCCTTAAAGATCTTTGGCTGGACAAGTGYCAATTGGCCAGAYATTGYCCCTTAAATGGCCCTTATGTTWAGCTCTWCACKATAAKTTKTCAATAMTTCAGTTYCATAGCTTATGTGCATGCATTATATTTATGTTGAAGGAAGACAAACCAGCATCGCAGAGGCTGCAGCGGCAGGGTTACTGAAAATCCCATCATCTTCACCAGCACCYGTAGTTGATCTGACTGGAGAAGATGACTCAAACACAGATCGAGGTAACTTTTTATTAAATACTGTAAATGCCTCGTCAATGTACTGGACACCTATTCATTCGTGTTCCTTAATAGAGTGGGTGTACATTACATGTATATTTGAGAGAGGGCTCCAAATATTTTAAACAGGGCCTGGTTGTACAAAAGATTGATTGYGCTATCTAACAGATAAATCATATCCAGTGGATAAATTTTGGGTAAGGATTTATTAATTGAACAGTGCTATCCACCCTTCGTACAWTGAAGCCCAGKTGTTTATAGTATTTCTGATAATGACTATAATTGACTGCTGAAAGTTTGAAAAAATCAGCTTACTTTCATCTACAAATCTGAAAATAAAAAAGACATTGCAAAATATCTGAATCCTATATATTTTTCAGACAAGGAAGGGATAGGCATATAGTTGGGGTACATATTTAATTTTTTGGGGGGTTCTTATACAACATCCTCTTCAACATACAGCCTCAGCTTTGAGTAAATATTTTGCAGGACAAACTCAAACCTTAGTTTTACTTAAAAGGCTTATTGTCTTATTGTTTTTCTACAGACAAAGTCAGTGCTCCTCCCAATGTCAATCTTTTTCAGTTAGGAAAACAACCCAACCAGATGTTTTCAAGTAAGTTCCATATAATGATAGTTTTAAAAACTTGCCTTTTGCTTAAATATTTGAAAACATTTTTCTGATTGTCGCACTAGTTACTCATTCTTGTGCAAAATCAAACAGGACAGAAAAATCAGTATAAGTGTTTGTAGAGATGTAACCTGTACCAGTAAAAGTAATTTATAATATTGATTTTATATTTTATTAATTTTGTCTTTTTTCTCCAACAGCTGCAACAGCAGCAGTTGCAACCAAGTCTGAAACAACAGGATCAATCACTTTACCATCCCTTCAATTTGCATTTGGGGCTACATCTGCTTCGAAACCAGCAGACGAACCATCAAAAGTAGTGCCTCCCTTCTCATTCATGGCAGGAGCTTCAAATACATCAGTCACTACAGCTGCAGCACCAACAGCTACTGCATCACCCTTCAACTTTGTTTCTCCTCTGGGGTCCGAAAACAAAGCCTTGAGTAACCCCACAGCACCCTCTCTAGTTACACCTCAGTTTGGTTCATTTCCTCCCCCTGTTAGCACAGGGTTTCCATCTGTTTTGGATGCTGCTACAACTACTACTGGGACATCTACGTTTGCTTTTAAAGCAACAACAAACACAAATGGCAAGTTTGGAGCACCAGCTGCTGGTGGTGGGTTTGCATTTGGTACGCCATTGTCCAATGCTGCTGGTGGCTCAAGCAGTGGCTCAGGAGGGTTTGCTTTTGATGGTGCTGCTGGTGCCGCTGCTGCCCCCTCTGCAGCAAATGCAACTTCTACTCCTTTTCTTTTTGGAGGCCAAAGTACGAGTGAACCAAAAGCTGGCTTTAATTTTGCAGCACCAAGCCAGGTAAAAACATACGTTCCATCTCGCGTTCTTCACAAAATAGCAAACTTGGACAAAGTTCACTCAAAAATAACCCAAATTGTTTACAAACGTAAAAAAGGTTTATTCTTTAAA